GAGCCTTCGTTGGCACACCGAGTCCGTTCAGACTCAGCGTCGTGTCGACTAAGAACTGGGTTCCGCCCAAGAGTTCTTGTAGGTCGAGATCTCGCAGATCACATTTGCGTAGACCTAGGAAGGAGCCTTTCCCTAGGCCTCGTCGTTTTCCTCCAGGGACGCATCCGATTGGAGTTCGACTGCCTCCTCCCACTGCTCTTCGGGTTCAGGGGCTTCGCGGTCAATCTCTTTGACTGTGGGGTTGAGCGGGCACCTGTCCTGGAAATGACCGGGCTTCCCGCATTTGAAACAGTTTCCAGACGCAGCCGGCACGGCGGTCCGCACGCGACCTGTTATGTCCGGCTTGGGGGCGGTGGGTATGAAAGGAGTCCTCTGGAAGGAACCCAACGGACTTCTTGTCGTCTTCGGTGGTTGGGTCTTGGCGGCCTCCACAGGCGGGAACCTGGATGAGCCGAGGCGGGCCCGTCCTGGGAAGCTCGACTCGCCGCTCTTGGACTGGGAGCTCAACTCGCCGTTCCTGCGTCGCTCTTGGTCGAAGGCGGTTAAGGCTCGGACCATGGTGAGGTAATCGCCTTTCCATTGGTCCTTCACGACCGCCACGCGGCTGCGGAATTGCGGTGTGAGCTTGTTCCACATATACCGAAACCACTCCGATTGTGATACTTGTCCCGTAATCGCCGCACTTTGGAAGCGGGCTTTGAACTCGGGGAAGGTTTCGTGTAAGTGACCCTTTTCGCCCATCTGCATATCGTCGAATTCGTTCCGGGCCTGTTCGGTCTCATTACCCGTAAGGTAATATGATCCTAATAGGTCCATCATTTCGTCTGCGCTCTGGAAGCCCTGCGTATCCGATAGGTATTGGGGTTCCAGATATTTCTTTGCCAGGCCGGTCGTAGTTCCCCATATCAACGCTCTTCTCGAGACGTCGGTAGGGTAGTGGTCCTCATTGACTACAAGTCGGTCCCGAATGGACGCGCTCCATTGCATAAAGGTATGTTCTATCCCATCGCTGAGCGGCGTAATCTTCTCAGAGATGGTGGATTTCTTGTAACGGTTCAGAGGGTCCACGGTGTACTGTCGGGGTAGACCCGGGATTGAAGGAGAGCGCGCATTGTCGACAGGTGGCAGTCGAACGGTGCCGGGCGTGTTTCGCATTGTCGGTGCAGGCTGTTCGTCTTCGTCGGCCTCAATGGTGCGCACTGGGGCGTCGGCAGCCGGTGGTGGCGTAGACGGTATTCGGGTCTGGCTAGCTACGAGGCTGGCTACCATCGCCTTGAGCTCCCGCATCTCGTTCTCGAGGTTCGCTATGCGATCCGGGGGGCTTTCGGATGGCCCTGCGGTCGTGCCCGCTGTGGCGGTTTGCCTAGTTGTCATTCGTAGCGGTTGACCGTCATTGTCGGGTGGTGGGTTTTGTGTCGTCTTGCGCGACATCTTGATTCGGGGGTGTATCGAGTCGCAGTCGATACGGAAGAGTTTGACTTCCGGTAGCTCGTAGCTATCAACACTCTTGTTCACAATTGCCTCTGTGCTTGAGGGGGTTCTTTAGGATCTCGTATCCTATTCGGCGCCAACGCGTCGGCGACTTTACCAGCTTGCTCTGCAGGATCAAACCCTGATCCACTGGCTGTCCGTGAGTTCTCTGGGGTCACGGCTATTTGGAGTCATCAGGTCTCTACTTCGAAATGTCACCGAGTCGCGGTCGGTGGTGTTTCGACAGTTCTCCTGAGTCGTTCCGGTTGTGGGATATTATTTAGGTACGGCCGTCCCCGGCAAGCGTGATCTTTTTTGTATAATGTAAGGACACAGGGAATACGGCTCTCCGTAGGTGCATATGGGAGTGCGAGTCGGAGGTGATGCTGTATTCTATCCTATAGGTCTACTACGAAGGATACAGAAAAGATAAAGGGGGAGCTTACAGCTTCCTACCCCTTAAATATCCATCTCGGGTCCGACTCTAATCAAGCTTAGCGTACCCTCGGTACTACTTAGTCGGTAATCCGAATCGACCCCGACTCCAACCCCTATGTTGCTGTACTACTATGTTATCTACTGCGCGTCCCCTTAGGGGTCCGAATGCACCCCGTGTAAGGAGGCATCCTTACAGGTCCTCACCAGGTAAGGTAAGTATCTGAGCGACTTTGCTCAGGTAAGGTAGGTATTTACAGATACTTTAGCAGGTAGTTGAGCCTCAATTCCGTATACAAAAATGACGCTTTTCATATTTGAAATAGATAATGATATGTAACTAGAATATGTAACTAGAAAAGTGAAACTCGTGACAAATATAATAATAAAATAGACAGCCCCTATTCCTATTCTTCTGCCTCATCATCTGCATCATCACCGTCGCTGTCGGCATCTGGTAAATAACCCCAATTCCGTAAGCAAAGCAGATATCTAATTGTCGATGGCGACAATCTATTCCTTTTCTTAGTAATGATATCGCTACCATTGCTAAATACCCGTTCTGATGGTGCTGATGTCGCAGGAATTGCAAGATGGTCTCGAGCAACTTGAGCAATTATTGGATATTGATATTGCTTTGCAGACCAATATTTGAGAATATCAGTATGCTCACCAGGCCGTGGTTCAAGCATCCATCGTTTCCATTCTGGTTCTTCAAATGATATACCCTCTGATGCAAATAAATCTTCATCAGAATCTGGTTCTTGCACTCTAGTATTTGCATTTCCTAATGCATCTGCAAGAGCTGTTTCACGTTCAATACGCTCTGTATCAAGATGATATTGCCGTGTCTTATATGTTCTACAAACATCTTCAAACTGTGCTCTTGCCCGTGTGATTCGTACATGATCTGTACTATCTGGATATATCTTTTTAAACACTGTATGGTTCATCCGTGGATCGCAAATTGTAGCTACAGCTGAGTGCTTACATTGCTGATTTGTTGCAAGAGTATAATACGCGTGAAGCTTTTGATAAGCTACTGTGCATGCAATACCAATTGCTGAGTGCTCGCCAACTTCTTGTTGCATCTTCTTAACTTTATTTATCATTTTAAGATAAAGTGGAATAGCAAAGTTAAGTGACGGATATGTATCACTTTGTAGCCGTCTTGATGGTTTGAGAAATATTAAGAACAGTCGTTCAAGATCTTTAATAACAGCCCAATCTCCTGTAGTTAATGCAATATCTTTCATACTAATATCAAGCTGTTGTGTTATGCATACTGCTGTGATTGGTATTTGGAGTTTTAATGCTGTATCAAGCATACGATGTGTTGAATTCCATCGTACTGGCATATCAAGTGATAGTTGCTGTGGTTTTAAACCTATAGCTTTGACTTGTCGTTGTAAAGCATCCTTCCATGCTCGTCGATTACGAAAGACATAGATATGTCTTCATAGCTTTGCAAGAGCATTCATGACTTCCACATGACTATCTCTACTAAATGGAATCCGAGCTGCACCTTGCTCACACCAGTATGTCTCTGTCTCTACATCTGGTTCTGCTTTTAAACTCGTAAGAGCGGCTTGAACTGCGAGATTTATGATATGTGCAATACACCGGACATCGCCTTCTTTGACAGTAAATGTCCAAGGTTGTTGAGTTGATGTTTGGGCGTTGCTAGCCAATTTCTCATATTCTGAGAGCATCACAGTATTTGATGATGCGTTGTCTCGGGTGCATGTAAAGATAGCGCCTGTAATAGCTATACTATCTGTTACAGCTGCTAATTGCTGAGCTAAGTATTCACCGCTATGAATAGGCTCTTGAAGATGTATCACATCAAGCAATTTTGATTTCTGCTGCCATTTATCATTAATCCAATGAGCGGTAACAGCAGCATACTCTGTATAGTTCCGTGCAGACCATGCATCTGTCGTTATGGATATCCGGCCTCCATGTATAATATGAGAATGGAGTTCAAGCTGTAGTATGCCTCGGTGATATGAGAATTGGCGTTGTAGTTCTCGGTGCAATGTTCTTGACGAAAGTGATAACACAGATGGACTTAAGAACCATACTAATTGACGATATGAATAGCTTTCGATAATGCGTAAAGACAGGTTATTAGATACTATAAACGATAGCACTAACTCTCTATATTTGGCTGGATTGTTTGTTGGTCTTGATTCATGGGTCGCTGGTCTCTGAGGCTCAAAAAATGATGATGTGCTGCTAGATTGACTTGAAGGCGCTGTATTCTTGTGTTTAAGAGCATCATAGATTCCTTTATGCTTAAGACTATAGTGTTTCCAAAGATTGCCAGTTGAAGCAGCAGCTTGAGCATGGGTTTGAGCTGCGGGCGAGTATCCGCAATTAGGCTGCATACAGCATACTTTGATAGTTGGCGGGTTGCTCTCAAGTAGTATTCTTGAATATAGTTCCTTCGTGAACAGCAGCGACTGCGTTGGCGGTAGCATTTGGCTAGGCGGGTGTAGATGGACAGGAATTGGATTTGATTGCTGAAAAGGGGTAAAAAGCCCTGGTAGGGCTGGCTCATCGTGAGGATTATAGCCATCAAGGTCCGTCGGCACGTCTGACAACGGAGAGTCACTCATTTTCACGGCAATTATCACCATATCAAGCATGAAGACGAGTATTTCAACGTTAGCATTTGTGCGGCTTGGCTACACTTGGCAATACTTGGCATGTATCTGGGTAAGTATCCGAAAATACCGGGATACTCAGGTATTTTGAGAATGAGCCCAGGTAGGTAATTACCCAGGTAATTACCTGAACACCACAGGTAATCAGGTATCTGTGCCGCACACTGATTGTTACCTTCCTCTGCCTCGACTCTGTGCTACAGTCAATGGCTGAAATGGTGGCTTCAGCAGGATCTGTGCCAGATCGTGGCGTTCAAAATTAATAGTTCTCATGTGGGTTATGATAGTCTTGGCTAGCGTTACGGTTGTTATGAGTGTATATGAGTACTACGAATGACGAAGACGGCTCTTGCAGTTGCTAAAGGTGTCTTTGTTTCTCCTATAAAAAATCTTCGGTCAGGTCGCCTTATAGGGTATGCAACGCAGTCACCTACCAAAGTCCTCCAGAACGCCTGTAATTCGGACTCCCCATTTACGTACGTCGCCGACGAGTCTAAGACGTCGGAGCTGAGATAGGCTTCTTATACGCATAGAGATTCTGGAGTTGCCATTCGGGCTCTGCGTCGGAAGAATATTCCCACTCATTGAATAATAGGGGTCCACGCGACCGATGATCGTTCCGCGGAGGCGTAACACACGATCGGATAGCAAGTCGCAGGGGACTTTGCATTCTGCGCTGCTGGCACTGTAGATCCACCGCTGCGCGAAAAGGATGCTAGAGTACTGAGTAGAGTAGTCGTCGTACATGTTGCATGAAAAATCAGGGACCCAGGACGGGAGACCGGCTAGTCGCTCGGTGGAGTCGTTCACCTGAAAGGGGTTCTGGGTGATGATATCTAGGTTCGCGCCCCCGTTGATCTCGATGGTGGTTACTTCAGTATAAACTTCCACGGCCGACTTGCGGTAATCGACCATCATCTCGCGGCTTTGCAAGGTGAGGCCGAGAAGGCCATAAATCTTGTCCCGTGGGTCTGTGGACTTGGAACCCTTGAAGCGCTCCAGGACATCCATCAAGCTTGACCGCTGCCCCGCCTGCATCATGGTGCGCTGGTTCTGGATAGTCTTGACCTTGCTGAAGGTCTCACCAGCCATGGGTCCTACAGTGCCGTGTCCCCATTCCATATGAAACGCATCAGAGTACTGCGCGTCCCCAAGAAACGAGTTGAGCATATCCCAATCCAGCGTCCGCTTCCCGATGATGAGGGAGATCCGCGGCGCGCACGCGAGTTCCTGCATCACCCATATGCGCGACCATAGCGAGGAGTAGAGAAAAAGCGTCTGCAGGGAGTCGATTTGCTCGTACTCCAGGAGCACACGTCGTCGCCTGGCTCGTCGTTCGTGGGTGCTCAAAAATCGCTTTCCCCCCTCTTGCGCCGCATCGGCTCAAGAGGCTTGATGTCACGCGTGTAAATCCTACTAAACAACTCCGCGCCCTCCATCATGACTGCGAGCGTTTTAGCTATCTGCTGCCACTCTGCTCTTCATCCACCTCCTCCCCTTGATCCTCGCCCTCGGATATAATGGAGGGTGTGGGAACCATAGGATGGAGCCAAACCAGATTCCCCGTACAAGACTCGTAGATCTGCATGACCTGCTCGCCGCGCTCCACATCGTCGCTCTGGTTGATACACACGGCGTCGATCCAGATCGTCCTATCCTGGAGGCGAGGCGCAAATGCCGAAGTGGGTTCTCTAGGTGCGCGTGACCTTGAACGGCTGCGCTTCTAGCTCGATGGTCTGTGTAAATCTAGGGACGCCCCAGACGTATGACATGGTCTCGTAAGGCTCGTGGTCATCGAGCGTGGTGTGCACGAGCCGGCCACGGATGGGGGAGTCGAAGGAATCGGAGGTAGCGCCACGAGATACCCGGCACGTATGGGTCGTCGTTTAGGTCTTTACTGCCCAGTACGGGGAATGGGATGCGTACGTGATCCAGGCCCGCGGCGGCGATGGCCTTGAAGTCGTCTTCAGTGATGAAGGTGGAGTAGTGTTTTTCCAATGTCTTGGCAGCTTCCTTTGGACCCAACTTCTTGCACAGGCTGTACTCGTCGACGAGACTTGTGTCGGGGAACAGTGAGGGGGTAATGAAGGGTTCAAGAGAGAGCCACCCGCCCAAGTAACACCGCGGAAAGGTTTGCTGGCGTGTGATCCCCATGGCTTGTTCAATGCAGGTACGTTTGCGTTGGCTTGCTTAGAGTCGTCCCATGTCGATTTCAAGCCGACAACGGGAAGGCCACCCACAGTCTCATCCGTAAATGTGCAGTTGAAGCCATCCATATCCAGCCACGATGTTGTGTTGTAACACATAGTCACTGGAGGTCATTGGAAGTGTTGGTGGTAGACAAGTTGTTGATTAGTTGAAGTATATAGGTTACAACTACTGAGAACTATATATGTGGGTGGGTGCCACGCCAGTGGCTCCCGTGGCTCTGAACCCCGATTCCTGCAACACACCCCTCTGGTGATATTGTAGAAAACATATCAACAGTTAGTAGCACCCCTAGTTCTTCATCCGTAATCTATAATCAGTCCATCTTTGGGAGCTGTTTAAGCTTGATCAGCTCAATGAATCTCTGATGATCTATCGTTGATAGTGGCTTCGTCAGTCCATCTGCAGCCATCTCCTTCGTATACACATAATATAGATCAACAAGGTTTTCCTTCACTTGATTTCGGATGTAGTGGTATTTGATGTCGATGTGCTTCGTTCGCTGATGAAACTCTGGATTCTCTGCAAGTGCAAGAGCTCCTTGGTTGTCGCCGATGATTTCCGTTGTGAGTGCATCCTTCTTCTTATATCCAAGCTCCTTGAATACCTGTCGAAGCCATGCTCCTTCCTGTGCAGCCTTAAACATAGCCACGTATTCAGCTTCAGTAGTCGCAACTGCAACGGTTGGCTGTCTCTTCGAAATGCTCACAATGACGCCTCCACAGAAAAGGTAGACGCATCCTGTGTGGGACTTGCGCTCGCTTCTGTCGCCTGCGAAGTCTGCATCGACGTATCCTCTTAATGCCATAGCCTCATCATCCTTCCAATCGCCTCCATAACAGATGCACAGATGAATAGAGCCTGCAAGATACTGCAGACAGCGACGAGCAGCTGCAATATGCTGTGGTGAGGGGTTTGCGAGAAAACGAGATAGAACGGACATGCAATAGTTGATATCCGGTCGAGTGTTCGTGGCTAGATACATTAGAGATCCAACCATAGACTGATACAGCTTGATTTCGTGAGCTGTAGCTTTGTCTTTGTATGGAGTCATGAGAATTTCCCATCCTTGGGCACAAGGCGTCTTCACCGTGTGGCAATTCGTCATTCCAAAACGGCTGAGGATCTTTTGAGTATATGCATCCTGTCCAAGGTAGATCTCTCGCTTCTTTCTATCTAGATGAATGCGGACTCCAAGGAAGTATTGTGCAGGACTGAGTTCTTCAATTGTGAACTTTGTCTGCAACTCATATTTCAACTTACTTAAGTCCTCGTTATCTTTGCCAATAATGAGGCAGTCATCAACATAAGTGACAATGATGATCTTTGTGTCCTTGTTGATGAAGATGCATTGGTCTGTTTCGAGTGGTTCAAATCCAAGAGATTGGAGTGCTTTGCGAAGCTTTTTCTGCCAGAGACGTGGTGACTGCTTGAGACCGTAAAGCGCGCATGATAGCTTGCACACATCCTCCTTTGAAAGCTTGACACCATTCTCACACCATCCAGGAGGCAATTCGACATATACCTCTGCATCGATATCATTTTCAAGGAATGCAGTGTCAACATCCATCTGTTCAATCTCAAGATCGAAACGTGCAGCGAGGGCAACGGCGATTTTCCATGTGGCTGATTTGCAAACTCCTGCAAAGGTCTGCTCATAATCCTTTCCATATCTCTGCTCATAGCCCTTTACAACCCATCGAGCCTTGCGGCGAAGGATTTTGCCATCTCGATCTCTTTTAGTGCGCAAAACAAGGCAAACCAAGGACCTTTTTCCCTTTTGGAACTTTGCTTTTATGCATGACTTTCCACACTTTCTTACGAGTAATGGATCGATATTCAGACGCAATGGCCTCACTCCAGAGATCTGCATCAGATCGAGCAAGTGCTTCTTCCATGGTTTGCGGATCTGAGTTGTATTCTGTGCCTGTGAAAAATGCATTTTGGAAATCTTCGTCTTGATATTCCTGTTCTTCCTCTGCATACATGGCATTTCGAGATGAAGCAGCATCCTTTGCTTGGCTTCTCGTGACTCGATTCTGTTCAGCAATAGGAACCCAGACTTTGCAAGTTTGGGTCTTCTTTGGAGGTTCGCGCTCCTCATGCTCGATTTCTGCATCTGGCTGATCTTTAGGAGATTCTTCCGCATCCTCCTGATTGTGAATTAGGTCTAGAGTCTGTCCTTCATAGTCTTTATTCATTGAGACAGAAGGTGGAGGGTATTGCAGTTCATCCATTTCTTCCACTGCGTTGTTGTGGGCTGCTTGGACATTTTCGTCACTGATTTCAAATGTTGGCTCTGTAATGAAACCACTGCCTTCATCAAATTGAGCATGCGAAGTTCTTATAATCTTCTCTCCAGCTCGAGAGGGGACATAAACTCGAAAAATGTTATGACCCTCATATCCAACGAGAATGCCGACTTCTGCCCTTGAGGCAAGCTTCTGGCTTTGCACTCTGCATTCCTTTTGGATAATAACATACATCTTGCATCCTAGAACTCGCAAGTGGGCGATGTTAGGTGTGTGATTCACCCCTGGTTCAATTTTGTCCCAAAATGCTTCAAATGGTATCTTCCCATCAATGGTTGAAGTGGCCACTCTGTTTGAGATGTAAATGGCAGCTTGAAACAGCTCTGGCCATAGGAATTCAGGAATTCGCTGATCGATTGCAGCGGATTGAACACGTTCAAAAATGGTGCGAAAGCTTCGTTCGGCTGTGCCGTCTTGATATGCGCAAAATGGAGTGGACAGCTCAATGATGGTTCCGAGATCTGCTGTAAGCTCATTGATCTGGGTAGGAGCATATTCCTTTCCTCCATCCATTCTGAATCTCTTAATTGTGATGTTGTATTGCGTCTTTGCAAGTCGAATCATCCAGACAATGCATTTGTACGCGTCTGTTACGACGGAACAAGAAGGCTGGCCAACTACAGGACAGGAAGGAGGGAGGTCGCATGAGACCGGCCCTGGTACCTGGAGGGGCAGCGGGGAATAGTAGTTCCGAAAGTATCACGTGACGGACTCGCAGGATGATGAGAAGAGTCCTAAGAGTCCAGGACTCCGAGGACTCGAGTGAGTTCCCAGGAGTCCACTAGGCACGTGATGGACTCGCAGGATGATGAGAAGAGTCCTAAGAGTCCAGGACTCTGAGGACTCGAGTGAGTTCCCAAGAGTCCACTAGGCACGACGCCACTATATAAGTAGATAGTATTTCCTTAGATAGGAGCTTCGTGCTCAACTCAATACAGTATTTGTTATATACTAGTAACGTGTTACTTGAAGCCTTTGTGTCTGATCCCCTGCCTCCTCTGATAAGTAAACCTTTACGCAAGAGAACCTCTGTGTCTTCTATCGTTTAGAAGTCAGCGTTACAGCGTCACCCTTATTCTTAAAGGTTCATCCATAGCGGACACTGTACTTTCCACAAGTAAACAGTATGCCATACTTCTCTCCGTGGAGTCCGTGAGGCTTGACAGTAACAACATCACAATGAACTTCTTCAAGAGCTGTTTTCGGTCTTAGTCGAGCTGAAATTTTGTTCACTCGACGGATTGGCTTTGCCTCTTCGCATGGCTGGCACAACCTCGTCGCAATGGCAGTGCCTTCTTTGCTATATGAGATCCCATTTACCATGTCTTTGGTCTTGCGGATGTTATCGAGTCCAAGATGACAGAGGCGTCGATGCCAAAGTTCAATGTCTGTGTTCTTCTGCTCAATCGCAGCAGGTAAAATCAAGGGCAGGATAAGTGATTCCTTTGCTTCCATTTTGAATTCGTAAAGGAACAGATCTGAGTCAACTGTGCTCATCTCATTGGCATGCTTATCGAGAAGCTGGCCATTCTGTAGATGACCTCCGCTGCTATAAAGCTTCTTTCCGCTAAACAGGCAAACTGGCAAGGAAGGCATATAGATGACATGATAGAGGGTAATTTGGGTCTTCTCTCTGTTTCCCTTTACTCCAAAAAATCGAACTGAGCCACAGCCTTGAGGACGAACAAGTCCATTTGCTGTATTCATGAATGGTAAATCCATGCGCTCTTCGTAAGTGTCAAACTTCTCAAGACTGTTTGCAATGTGCTCATCTGCTCCTGTATCGAATAACCACCTATCTCTGCTTATAGTGTTCGATTTGGCAGGCATTGAGAAAGCTACGAGGTCGAAATAGTTCTTAGAGTCATTGCCCTCATCTTTGGTTTCACTTTTCTTTTTCTCAATATGCTTCCAATATGGGGTCCATTTCTTCCCATTCTTCCGCTCCGACTCATCATGCTTCTCCTTGTTATTTTCGAGGCAGTCTTGAGGTGAGTGTTGTCACGGTTCACCAAGGCATAGGGCGCCAGTTGGGTATTATGAATTAAACTCAATCTAGAGAAGAAAGGAAAGAGAAGAGGAGCACTCGAGCAGTGGCTCGATCTATATACAGCTATGTTGTTGTGGAGTGAATTCTCTTTAGCGAGACCAGTTCTGAGAATTCACTCCACAACTGAAAACTTCGCTCCAACCCCGGAAAGCTCCCCACACCCCTGAACCCCCACTCGAGCTGCAAGGCGCACTTGATATCATAACAAGTGTCGAGGTTTCGGCATTGTGCAATGTGGGCAAGATGGTCGATCTCCATTCTTCTTGTCCTTGCTTGGGTTTTTGCCCTTACCCATTCCTTGAGACTTGTTTCCGTACAAGGCATTCGAGCCTGTAGGAGTCGATTTCGATCTTGCCTCATCTGTGAGGTCATCGATAAGAGAATCGAGAGTGATGCGGTGATCTGGAGACCAAAGGAGTGATCTTTGGCATTCTGCCCAAGTTGGCCACTTGTTCGCACAAGAAGCTATAAACATAACAGGAAGCCAATAATCATGAGGAGGACATTGTAGACTCTCAAGTTTGTCGATAGCTTCACGGACAGCGATAATAAACGTGTCAAGCGAAGAGAAATTCTCGTACTTG